TAAATGGGCGGGTAATTAGGATTTTATTTCATCGAAAGTTTGCTTAAAAAGAATAGAGTTCTGAAGATACATATTGGTTCTCTATTTTGTGGGCACTGAGCTCGATGAACGAACCGACTTATATGGAAAGACCCAGCTCAATTGGCTTAATTGCATGAATAGGGGTTTTCAAGCAATCTACTTTTTAGTGCAATTCCTATTAGTTTGTGTGAAAATATTTTGTAGACAGTTTTAACATGGCGATAATTTGTATTCTGTTATTATTTTATTCTGTTTAATCCTTACTTTACATTAATTGGTATTCAAATCAATACTGATTGTTTTAAGAGTGCACCAAAGCTTAAAATGTCTATATGTTTTGCCTCAAGTTTTTTGACGTTATTGTTTGCCCTTCACATCAAACATCGCTGCAACATTGCATATTATTAATTAACATTAACATTATTAATTAACATTGTAATTTGGCACCGCTCTTGTTCTCATTGCAGCGGCTTATCTGCAAATGCAGCTGCAGTGTTAAAAATACAGCCCATAAGGTATGTATATTTTTATTAAAAAATTACTATATAGTACTATATTAGTTCGCTTTCACCCTAATCTAACCTAATAAATTAATAAATTTCGTTTTCGAGCTCAAATTCCGAAACAAAACAGAATTATGGATGTTTTTCCTCTATTTATTTTATGCGCTAGTCGTTCTCCCATTTATGATAATCGGTTTTTATTGGCCGCCATACAATTTGTTAACTAAAAACTTTACACACATTACAGGATGCACGCAGGATATGGTTGCGTTCACACATCGTTCTAAAACATAATTTCAGTTCAATGGCACTTCCGCTCGTAAGTGTGGAGTCGGCCATAGTTGTAGAATCTGCTGCAACAGAAACAACAGCATCTACACTAGCAGCAAAGCCGCGCAGGAAATGGACAGAGCGCCGGCGACAATGGCCTGATATGCATGAGCAAAGCGTGCCGAGATGAAAACGGTGGGTATACTCGTAGATAGACAACGAAGAGGGGGGGAGGAATGCAGGAAGGGAATGAGGAACGCAATACTTTCGCACAGTTTTTCAATTGCTCTCTTTAACAGTTTAATACGCTTCCGCTTCGAAACGTTTTGAGTTTCTCTCCCTCTCTCTGGTTGTTGGTGCCCCGCTTTATGATTTCAAGCCACACACACACCGAGAGGGAGAGGGATGGGGAGGAGGAGTGCGAAAGCAGAAGCGTGTAACATTTGCATGTTGCGATTTTAGCACAGAAACGGTTTTGTCTACGCTTTATTCACTTCAGTAACAGTGAAGCTTCTCTATGGTGCATTTCTGAGAGTATTGCGACACTCTACCAAGGCAATAGTTTTATGCTCTGGTCAAACGGCAAATAATTTGCACACGAGTAGGCCAATAAATGTAAATTAACGAGTAAAAGTATGTATGTCAGTGTGTGTAGAATTGGGAACAGATATAATTTCCGCTGTCTTTGAATTTCCACTGTATTGCATACGAGAGAGCAGTTTTAAGAAATTCAATTTACATGTAAAATCATGTTGGCAGTTTATCAGAACCACTCAACCACACACTCAAATACATATGTACATACGCTGTCTTAATACCCATACATTAGGGGGTTTATTGCGTTTGTTTGTTCACCCAACAAACCAAACGGAACTAAGCCTCATAATGGCAGTACAGATGGAAAAACTTTACAAAACCACAACACTTTGTTGTCAACGACTTTTTCAAATGCGATATTTCATAGATGCGACTCGTTAACTATATATGTACATACAAATGTACAATATATATGTACATATGTATATGTTTATGTACTATACATATACATATCTCTGTGCCTTTGTATGTTTTGTATGTATGTACACATTTGCTTTTATCAATCAATAGAGTACAATGCAATAATATGACAAATTTTTGGCATAACCCATGTCAATATTTGGACAAAAAATGTGATTCATGTTGAAAGTGGTTTTACAAATTTACATGCGAATCGATGACAATACGGAAGAGTATAATGCCGAATATGCATATGCTATGTATGTATGCTGATAATACAAGTATGACCGATAAGCTCTGTAATTCAATAAACTTACAGGTTTTATAATGAAATATAAAAGAAAGGAACATAAATTCTTTAAATTGATTTTTATTGTTCACCAGAGTCTCTTTTTAATAGGCTCCTCTCAATGTTTCTCCACCAACTAAGTCCTCTAAAAACTAAGTCCTAAATTCATTTGAATCTAATAAATTTAAGCTTTATATAAGCTAATCAACTGATTTGAATCTGCTTAAAATCTTTATATGTACATACATATGTATATATTTACAGAAGAAAATGTAGCAACATTGTTTAAAACAGGCAATTATTTCAGAAATAATCTTCTCTGTCCAGATAGCCACTGCCTTATGTTGGGGGACAGGAATAGAACACTGGCGGCGTAATCTTGTAAACATAATGGATTTGGCAACAATTGAACGATATGCCCTGATCTTAATCTAACTTAGCTGTGAATTCGTTTATTGATGCTTTGAAAATATTCCTTGTTTCATTCAAAAAAAAACAAGATAGAACGCTACAGTCGAGCAAGCCCGACAGTAAAATAGCCTGTACTCTCCACAAAAAGGAAAAATTAAAAGAAAAAAAAAATTAAAAAAAAATTAAATTATTAAAAAAAAATGAATGAATTAATTAATTAAAATAATTAATTTAATTAAATTAGAATACATGTTTATGTTCAGTTTAAACAGCATACATTTACATCACGTACCTATGCGTGTTCATATGCGTGTATGTATGCAGCACAAAGTTGAACAAAAGCAGCAACAACAACAACAGCTGCGGGCAGCGCTGCCGACAGAGCTGCAGGCAGCGCATGAGCAGCGATTTTACTTATGGCTATAACTTTCTTCAGAATTGACCTATCATGATGAAATTTGGCACACGGACACATTAGTACTAACTGGATGTACCTACCAAAATTGATTTTTAAATTCCGAGAATTACGGAAGTTATAAGAAAAAATACGAATTGCGGGGGAGTGGGGGGGTGTATCAGAAAAAATAAACAAACTCGTTCTGCCTAGGGCTTATAGGAACCTTGATACCAATTTTGGTTATCCTAGCTCTTGTACTTACTGAGATCCTTGCGCTCATACAGACAGACGGACAGACGGTCAGACGGACAGACGGACAGACGGACAGACGGACATGGCTATATCGACTCGTCTTCTCATCCTGATCAAGAATATATATACTTTGTGGGGTCTGCCACGCCTCCTTCTGTGTGTTACATACATGCGCACAAAACTAGTATAGCCTTTCACCCTTTGGGTACAGGCTATAAAAAAAAAAAAAACCGTAATGCAATTGAAATCTCACTATGTACATACTATGTTCATATGTATGTACATATGTATATGTTTGTCGCACATCAGCAGAGTACTGGCAAATGGCACGGCTCCATTTCAAAAGCTTAAAAATTATTAGGGCAGGTGCTTTTTTGACGTCCAATTAAGGTTTCTATCAAAATTTTTAATGAAAACATTAAAACAATGAAGTCGTCTTTCTTTTCTACCATTCTCGTAGCGGTTCTCTTGTTTTATGATAGTTGCTTTGTCTGCTTTCGTCTTCTCTAGAATGCAGCTTAGAGTTTTGGGGAATCAAACTAGTTTCTTAATCTTTGTTGTTCCCGTTAATCATCCATCTCGCTAAGCTTTTCGTTCACTGAATGGTTTTGATTTCGTTACAATATCAGACAGAAGAAGAAATCAGACACATACTAAACGAGCGTGTAGGCCCTTCTGTGTAGATAGCATGTTTGTTTGTATGTGCGTATAGGTCGTGGCTAGATGCGTATAAAAACTAGTGATAAACTTGACAGTGCACTCCCCTTGAAGGGGTGTCAGCGGGGGGAAACTGCAAGCTGCAATTGCAGTGTCTATAAATAGAAGAACAAAAGATGTCCGAAAGCTAGAAACTGACAGCGGCGCATAGTATGAGAAAATGATGAAATAAGAAATACGGCATGGACATGGACAAGGCAAAGTAAACTAGAAATACGTTTAAGCTGACAGGCATCGAAGGGCGGTTGGGTGGTTAGGCAGTGGGGAAAGGGGGTAGATTTCGCTGCCACGGAGGTGACTGCAAATGATGCGAAACGACAGCATTGCTTCTTTTTTTTATTTGTTGCTTCTGATGAGGAAGTGTCTGTGTCTGTGGCTGCGGCTGAAGCTTAAACTGTCTGTCCATTCGTACGTTTACAAAGCAAATGATGTGCATAAACCGCAGCGTATGGTGCAGGGAATGGGAGGTAAGGTAGAGAGAAAACAAAGAACAGGATGCTGCAAATGGCACCACAAACAAAAGCAAAACTCAATTGAATATAAAACAAAAGTGGAGAAAAAGAAATGGAATGGAAATGAAATAAAAAGCGAAACTGTCAGCAATGCTGCATAACCTGGATAGTAATAACAACATTATTTTTAAATATACTGAGCAAAAAATTTACCAACATTTGAAAATAGCTTTCCTTTTCACTGTCCTGCTCAGGTTTTAAAAGAAATATTTAAAATTTAAAATATGTGGAAGTATCGCGATATGATACAACATCATGCCTACATACTCATATTCATTCAGGCTTGTTCCCGGTTCCACATGGATTGGGGTTCTTTTTTCGATGTGTACAAAACTTTTTATTTTCTTGAATAAATTGCAGTTTGATTGAATATAAGTTTGGGAACTAGAATTCAATATGAAAAATTCACATAATATCTGAAAATTTGTGCTTTCTCCATATCGGTTTCGACAAATTTGATCGAATTTGGAAACGGTATATGTTTTTTTTCGAACAAAGCATAACCTTTAAATTAAAATCAAGAGTTCTTTTGAAGCAATGATATATTCTTAGTTTATAAAATTAATATGACTTAAATAATGTTTTACTTTGTGTTTTTTTTTTAAGTGTATTCATATGTATTTTAATCCCACCTTGGCAATGTAAAGAAAGAGTCTGCAATGACATCCATTATTATCATAATCCGCATTATCGTCTGCTTCTTTTTGTTTATCCTGAAGCATTTTGTTGTTGTTATTGTTTATTTGTCCTTTACAACTTTCATTTAACTAATTTTTTTTTGCACACGTTACACGAAGTGTAGAGGGGAGAAGAAACACATACACACAACGAAAACGAGAACACAAAACAATAACAACAACCGAAATATAAACTTATCGATATTTTGTTGTGGGTGCGCCTGTGTGAGGCTGACTTTTGCTGCCTAAAGCTACTTAACGGTAGTTGTTATCGCTAATACACCATTTGGCCATAAGCAAATAATAAATTAAAAAAATAAATATTTTGGGTATTTTCAACTTTTAAATGCAAACAAACGAAACAAAAAATAAAAAACAAACACGCACGCGCAGCTTCCGCAGCAGAGAGCGAAAAAAAGATGAACGCGACGCGGCGCTGTTTTCACAATACTGACAGCAATGGTGGCGGTAACGTTGCCGACGACTGCGGCTGCGACTGCGCGACTCTACGTCTGTTCTCTGCCAGAGTGTGAGCAGCAGGAAAACCAACAATAACAATGTGTAAAATGTGCGCAACTGGCTGCGAGCCAGAGAAAGAGCGCAGCTAACAGTGGATGGCTGGCAATGGGGACCATTACAACGAATTTTTGTTGTTAAAGTGTTGCATTGCTGTTTCTGGTTCTATGGCTAGTGGTAGGCACACTGGTCGTTATGAAAACTCTTTCAGAAATGTAAATTGACTTACAAATAAACATTATTTATCATTTCTTTTCTTCTGATTAGCTCGATACCCACAAATAACATTTTATTGCAGTATTCTAAGTGGAAACTATCATACTATCTGTCTAATCGTCGATATCGATGGTTACCGATGTCGATTGTCTCCTGCAGCCTACCGGGCCGCATTTGACAAACACACCAACCTCATTTGTATATTAATACTAGTATCGCACTACAAGCACAACAAACAAATATACAAGAAATAGAAGAAACAAAGTATCTTATTTTATGTTTTTAAAGAAAAATGTAAATGCATTAAACAAAATATGGTTTAAAATAACAGAGCATGTGCTGTTAAATAGCAAAACCTTCGTTTAGTTAAAGAAAATAAGCAAGCGGCTCAGTAATAGCCGTAGCTATTCTACAATTTCAAACTTTTATCTCACATTATGCATATTTGAATAAATCTGCGCTCTGCTTGTTTGAAAAAAGTATGTAGTTGGGGCGCACGCGTCGCAGCTTTTTACGTCTGATTTTATTTATGTTGTTGCTTTACCTTCTTTCTCTCTTTCAGTGCCCCTCTCCCCTCGTTTCTTTGCAGCTTGCTGGCTGAAGTTTTATGACTTCTGACAAGAGTGTTAAGAAATTTCGCTATACTTGGAGTGTTGCCATCAAAGAAAACAAAGAAATTTCACTAACTTTTTATAGACATTTGTAGTTTCTGTTAATAACATTTCTTTTTATTTGGAGTGCGCACATATGGATTTTTATACCCTTTCTATTGAAGTGAAAGAGTATACTCAGTTTGGAATGAAAGTGTGACAAAGTCACGTATAATGGAGTCATTTTAGATTCCAAGTAGTAGGTTCAGAACTACACTCATATGTCGATATTATAGCTCGAATAAAAACAAAAGAGTGGTTGTGGTGGCGATCAGACCTCATTGGATGACCTATCATTGAGCGTTAAGGAATGTGTGGGCTGCGAACGGAGACGAGCCCAGAAAGGCTGAACCGGTAACTAAGGGATGCAGTTGGGGATAACAGTTGTAAATTTTCCATTGTTTAGGACAGCAGTAGAAATGGACTAAATATGGTTAAATGAGGAGGAAAAGTGGTAGTTCAGTGTGAGAAAGTTGATAGAGAAAAGGGGGTCTGAAGAGTATATATTTTCGGTGCGGCCAGAGATAACATTTTAGATCTTTAATTTCTACAGACTTGCTTATTATCATTATGTTGTTTCTTCTTATGGCAGGCTATTATTTAAACAAAACGTCGACGTTAAGTCTTTTGTTACGTGCGGGGCGTGACATTGAGAGACAAGCCAAGAAAGAAGCACAGCGATACACAATAACATTAACAACAACAACAACAACGGCAAAATGGGCAGCAAAAACAGCTTCACGCGTCGTTGTCTTTATTATTGTTATTATTTTCATTATTGTTGTTATTGTTGTTGCTGTTGCACACGTCTGATGCTACAAATATACATACATACGTATGTGTGTATGAATGTATTATTATGGCAACTCAAAAACTTTCTTTTCAATTTTTTATAATTTTAACGCATTTTTTATTTCTTCTTCAATGCTTGCACAAAGAAAATAAACAAAATCCGAACCAAAAAGAAATCATATAATTTATGTTATAAAAATGTTAAGCTCGAATTAAAGTTTTGTGCAGTTACTAAGGGAGTCAGTCAAACGTGTTTTTCCTAAGGCCGTCACAGATGCAGATACAAACACAACAAATAACAACAAATTGGTGCACCATCAGAGTAAGAGGGAAGGGGGGCGATCCGACCACTGATGGCCAGCCCACATAGAAAGTGATCGAAATGGGATTAGGGGCTGTCTTCCTCGTCTCGCTCCGTATGGAGACGATGTTACGTGACAGCGTGATGCCGGACTCTCTGCTGGTTACATGATCAGCCGCTGATCAGCATGATGGGGCACTTTGTCAAGACGCCACTGACACTGCTACCACCACTGTCGCTGCCACTGAACGTGACTTTTTTCCCTAATCGAACAAACATGTGTTTGTTATAAATCTGATGGTTCCATGCTATTTCCATTTTATTCCTATGTATATTTCTACAAGTATATATTTCAACTATAGTATGTATAAAGAAATACATATATCAAAGTGTATAAAATGTACCAAAAACGGCCCTACTGTGACGAGCCGTACTGAACTTGTTTTTTTAGGATCTTGGGAATTTAAAATACATAATTCGTTTACTGTGAAAAATATATTTCTTTAAACATACATATTTTAGTTTAATAAACGAATATTTTGCTTTAAAGAGATAACAAGTGATATGCATACAATTTTTCTTTAGTTAGTTAAGAACGACTGGCAGCGTTCTAACAATTTTTCTTTATCTAATAATGTTCAGTTTTTGCAGATAAGGGTTCGAAATTAAGAGCATCTCAGGGCAAAGTGCAACCTTAGGTATTTAGTTCTTTTTTTGAATATCTTCTAGCAAGCTGTCACCCTCCATTAGAGCTTGCGTTAGAGCTTAAACCGCCCAACAATCACTAGCAATGCTAATTGTGTAAGGACTTAACAAGTTGCATAGGAATTATCAAGAGCAGCGGAGGAAAGAAGACCTCAGTCAAGCCCCATCCCTGTGGGCACTCGACCAAGTTAGAAAGAAAGCCTGAAGATAAAGATAAAGCTATACATATATGTATAACAAATGAATAATATACAAACTACATGTACTTTTTAATTATCAGAATTTGGTCATACTCGAACAAAAGCCATACATACATACATACATATACACATCAAATAAAATGTAGGTTTATGTATGAACTACTGGGTCAAAAGACAAACAGCTCTCTGCATAGGTGTTTCTTTGTGTGTGTGAAAGTTTTTTGTGTGTGGCTGCTGCTGCTGCTTCGGCTGCAACCGAGCTGAAGAGTCAAAAACTCATTTCTTTTCACAATGAAAATCGGTCAAACCAATCAAAAAAGCAAAATAAAAGCTCAACAGCCACAACCAACTCCAACAACAACAACAACAGTAACAATACAAGTAAATGGCTGCTGTTGCTGCTCAGCGCGCGATATTATCATGTTTTTAATCTCTCCCCATCTCTCCTTCTCTCCCACAACCTCTTTTACTCTCTCCCTCTCTACCATTACAGCTGAGCACAAAGTTCTTTCAACTCTTACAGCCCCCACATTTCTGAACAGAACAGCAGCGGTGAGCACAAAAATTCCCTTTGAATAATATTTTTTGTGGGCCGTTTTAGGTAAATAGACCTAAAAGGCAGGTAAAAAAGACAAAGAGGAAGCAGACGAGTACAAAATTAAAGTTGCTCAAGGCATTCTCTCTATCCCCCACAGTCCTTCAACTAATCCAAACCAATTGTTCCTATGGCAGCTGTATTTTAGAGTGCATCAATTTTGATAAACCTTTTAACTATTTGGCAGCTATAGAATAAAGCGCACTAATTTTGATTAATTTAATTGAGATATCTCCACAAACCACAAAGTTATTCTATTGTACATAGTGTGAAATACAAATACAAATCAGACGCAGGTCCTTCTATCAGGTCTACATTATCTACATTATCTCTATTAACGAATGTATAACTATTCATGTCTTATTTGTAGAGACTTGGCTTGCACCTGAAATCTTTCGTATTTTTTTAAGTTCCTTTAGCTATGCTCAGCAGCAGACAAATAAAACTTTTTATAATAAAAATGAATTGATTTCCAGCTTTAAGCAAAGTCCGTGACAAAGAATAAATTCTGTCATTTTCTTCGAATTTGTAAGTTAGTTATTCTAATTGCGTCACGGCCATATAATCCATTAAAAATGAGAATATCGATTCGGCTGATGTTATCGATAATTTAAGAAATATTGAAAGACACGCCTTTTTGCTTCAACGCTATAATTACGAAGACGCCGTTTCTTATTACAAAATTACTTACTTCCGGTTGATAGAGATCTCTACAAAGCGATACCGATGAGTAATGAACTTATTCGTATAATCTTCCGTGGAATAGTAACAAGTTTCGTCTGTTTGGAATAAATTTACAAAGTCATAAGCCTAGAAGTTAGCGGACGTCAACAAAATGAAAAAAATACTTTCTTTTTTTTTTTTTTTTAATTTTGAATACCTTAAGATAATCCAATTGCGAATACAAACATACAATGAACATGTATAGGAATAAACCATTGCAGATGATGAAAGGCCCAGTGGGGCAGGCAATGTTGCAACGACTCCAATATGTTACAATACTGCACAACAACAACAACATGAACAAAGAAGGCAACAGCAGCAACAGCGGAAATGAAGTCAGACAATGTTGTGGCTGTTAAAAAAAATATAAAAAAATAGGCAAACAAACGTAGCGTTGAACGCATAGCATACAACAATGGCAATAACAAAAAGAAGCAGAAGAAGAACAACAACACCAACAACAAACAACAGCCCACCAAAAGAAAGCAGCTGAGCTGAGGCTAAAGCTAGAACGACGCAAAAGCTCTCAAAGACGGCAGCAGCAGCAGCAGGCAACAAAAATCATTGATAAAATGCCGTAGAAAGCGTTGCGGAAGCAAAAAAGGCACTGGAAAAAAACA